ACTACTACTACTACTACTACTACTACTACTACTACTACTACTACTACTACTACTACTACTACTACTATTACTACACTACTACTACTACTATTACTACTACTACTACTACTACTACTACTACTACTACTACTACTACTACTACTACTACTACTACTACTACTACTACTACTACTACGACTACTAGTATTATTACACAAACATCACGCCCGCCTCAACGATAATCCCTTACTTTGGTGTGCTTGATCTATACAACTATACGCATATGTGATATCAACATTACGTCTTAGTATACACTCATCACATGTCATACATGGTACCACCAACTACGGCGAATTCTCACACCATACATCACATAACCATGTTACGCAATACGGTAATCACATATGTCACGCCACACATTATTCATAGAACCATTTGATACTTAATCACAACGTACCAGATCGCGTCATTATTAAACATGACGTTCTATTACATTAAGGCATATAATAACATAAACTCATATAATATACAATAACCGTGTATATATACATATATATATGTATATATATATACACATATATATATATATATTCACACATATATATAGATGATATATGATATATAGTATATAATGAACTAACATACGTAACATGCCATACTATAGCATAAATCAACATAACATAACATATCATAGTGTGCGATGTATTCGGGAACCGGCTTTCTTATTCGGGAGCACGGTCGGGCGCGATCTAAAATATTCGGGAACCGGCTTTCTTATTCGGGAACACGTTCTTCAATGCAAGATAATTCTGGAAAACCCTAAAAATAAGCATGGGCCGTGGAAAAATGCAGCACCACAACTTTTTAGCGGAACGGATCCTCTGGGTAGTCGAGGTCGGCCTGGGCAGCAGGGAGGGAGCCGCCTCCATCCGCCGGGGGTGGGGCTGGCCGTGGGCTGGCGCCATGGCCCACGGGATCCTGGCGGGGGCTGGGCACGGCAACAGTCGGCCCACTGGCTGGCGGGCCCTCCGCGCTGCTGTGGCAGAGGCCCAACTGCACCTCTTCGAAATCGGCGCCGAGCTCTGCCGGCAAGGCCGCCGCCCGCCGTTGGAGCGCGGCATGCCTCTGCCTGGACCTCTTGCTGTTGGGGTCCGCCGCCGCCTTGGCGCGCATGGTTGCCGGGAGGCTGCGCGGGACGTCCAGCGCCTGATACTACCATCTCTGGCGGGCGCCGTGGAGGGTGAGCTGAAGCCCGCAGTGCGTCGCCCACGGCACCTTCAGGAAGGCCTTCAGCGAGAACAAATGCTGGTGGCCGTCCTTGGCGAGGCCGTAGTCCAGCAGGCGGCCCTGCCCTTTGTCGCACGCCCTTTGTCGCACGTGGTGGCGACGTCGGGGGCGATGACCGCGCCGCCCAGCTTGGCGACCCAGCCCGACTGGGCAAGCTGGTGCGGCTCGTGGTTCCAGTCGCCCAGGACGATCCACGGGGCCTTCTGCATCGCGAGGAACGCCCCCAGCGCGACGAGGGTGTCCCTGTTGCGCTTGCCGAAGCCGAGCGCAGGGTGCAAGTAGAGCGCCACCACAATGATGTTGCCTGCCGCCGTGTGCAGGACCATCGGGGCGAAGCCGCAGAGCGCAGCGCCCTTGGCGTCGCGCCAATGGTCGAAGGTGGTGGCCTGGAGGTGCGCGCGCACCGCCGTGAGCTCGCCTCCTGTGACGCCGCCCTTGCCCGTGGAGACCCCAGGGGAGTACGTCGCCTTCCAGCCGTCCTTGCGGAACGCCTTGATGATGGACTTGGAGTGGTTCTCCGCGCGGTGCAGCTCGACGAAGGCGATGCCGTCGAAGCGCTTGGCGCGGTCGGACTGCAGAAAGCCCTTGGCCTGGGGGCCCCACTCCGTGATGTTGCCGTAGAGGACGGTAACGTCCTCCTGGCCCGTGTTAGGTACGTTGCTGGCCTCCACTGGCGGCCGCGGGAGCAGCAGGAGCAAGAGGCCCGCCAGCCGCGCCTGCAGGCTGCCCAGCCAATGCCTCGCGGCCAAGGGCCTCCGCGTCGTCCCCTGCCGCACGGACGGCCTCCTTGGACAGCTGGGAGCCCTCGGTATCGTCGACCTTGGCCCGCTTGGCGGCGAGCGTGGCCGCCTGGTGAGCCTCGGCGCAGCGCTTGGCCGCATTGCGGGCGTCCTCGTCGTCCTCGGAGACCTGATGGCCAAGGGACTCGAGGAAGGCGCGGCTGGAGGCGGCGGTGGCCCAGACCGTGACGGTGGGGACCTGGGCGACGGTTGGCGCCGGGGCCTCAGGCGGTGCCGGCGGGCCTCGGTCGCGCGCCGCCTTGGCCTCCGAGACCTTCTGGAGGAGGCGGTCCCTGGCCTCCTGGAACTGTTGGCTGATCTCGAGCGCGTCGGCGCCGTCGAGGCCCTCGTCGTAGAGATGGTCCTCGAGCTTTGCCACGACGTCCTCAAGGAGGGGGATGACCTCCGACTCCTTCCCGCCGTGGAATCGCTGCTTGCCGAGGTCAGCGAGGAGCACGCGGGCCGCCGCGAGGTCCTTGTCGTGCTTGGCCTGCTGCTCCTGCTGGAGGGCCAGCTTGACCTCGAGGTGCGCGATCTCGGCCTTGGTCGCCTCCACGTCTTTGCCGATCGCCGCAGAAAGGCCCTCCAAGCGCTTGACGTCGCGGTTGCAGGCGTGGTAGCGCTTGCCGAGGGGGAGCGTCTCCTGGCGCTTGGTGCGCAGCGCCTCGAGCTCCGTCTTCCAGCGCTGCACGTTGTCCTTCTCCGAGTCGCCCATGTGCTCGCCCGCCTGAATGAGAGCCGCCAGCTTCTTGATGCGCGCGAGGTCGTCGGCGTCCTCTGCTGGGGGCGCCGCCGCTGCCAGAGGCGGCGCTGCGTCTCCACCAGTCGCGGCCGCTGCGCCCTCGCGCCGAGCCTGCTCGAGGTCCTTGTCGTGCTTGGCCTGCAGCTGCTGGCGGATTTTGACCTCCATGGCCTTATACTGCCAGGGCGCGAAATCGCCCGTGGGCCCGGCGGCGGTCGGCGGCGGGCTGTTGACCCGTGGTGCTGGCTTGCCGGGGGCACCCGCGACAACCTCGCCAAAAGCGACCCTTTTGTGCAGCTTGCAGCCCGAACACACGAGGCTCCAGCCGCTGTTGCGGAGCCTCGCGCCCTTGGCCGTCTGGCAGGACTTGCACAGCCAGGGCTGCCGCTCCGTGGAAGCCCGAGCTGACGGGCGCGGCGGGGCTGCCTGGGCTGGACCGGTCCTCCTCCTTTCTGGGGCCATGCCGAAGCGCGCGGGCCCGCAGAAAACTTGGTAACAAAATTTTCACGCTCTGCCCAGCACCTCCCTTGGTGCTCAGAGCGCCTCGCAGAGACTTGCACCCGACGGGAGGGTGCCATGGCCTTGAGCCAAAATGGCTACGGAGGAGGAGGAGGAGGAGGAGGAGGAGGGAGGGTGAGGCAAAGGAGGAGAAGGGGTAGGGGGAGGAGGGAGGCGGACTCCGCTTCCACGCATCGACGGGAACGCCAAACTTTGACATACAATGTCGTCAATGTTGTACGCTACGTCAGCGCAGCTGCTAGAAGTCTGGTTTGACTGCGTTGAGACGTGCGGTCTGTCCCGCCAAGGATGTCTTCCGAAACCCCGAGAGCATCTTCCGCTTCTTCGAGCCCACCACGGGCGTCGACAGGAACAAGGATCTCATCGACGTGACCCTGGGCAACAAGACCCGGTGGGGGCCGGGCCCGTCCCCCTTCAACCTGGTCCTGACGCACTCTGGCTCTGACTTCGCCGTCTGCGGCATGCACTTCAAGATAGGCCTGTACGAACACCAGTCCGCTGGTGCGCTGGAAGGCCTAATCTCAGGAGTTGCCACGGGGCTCGCCACCAGGGGGGTCGCCGCCTCCTCCTGAGGATCGAGGAGGAGGGGTTTCCTGGACGTGTTCCGGCGCTATGGTTGGTTCGGCGGCGTCGTCGTCGTCGTGGGGGTCCTGGGATGTCGTACCCTCCCAGGGACGAGGTGGTGGCCCCCCTGGTGGCGACCCCCCCTGGCATGGCCTGGCCATCACCCTGCTCGTCCAGAACCCCGCGCTGGCCCAGGCCGGCCACGATGCGGTCGAGCGCATACACGTCGTGGCCTACGAGCCGGCCTACGGCATCATCGGCGACCCGGCGAAGAAGGACCCCAAGACCCGGCAGTCAGCGGACCATTCGATGGCCTTCATCGTCTCGAGGATGTTGTCGAAGGCCCTGGATCTGCGCGCCGTGCCCAGCTCCAGCGACGAGGCTTAAGTCGGGCACGTCCGTCTACAGGAGAACTATTCAAAAATATAGTCAACAAAATAGTCTGGGGACGATTTTTCAATCATGTTTGATGATCTGTTTTTAAGGATGATTATGTTTTATCTCTCGCCCAAGATCCGCCTGTAGGGGGACAGGTCCGACCTAAGACGAGGCCTGGAAGGCGCTCATGCTGACGCCGCACGACTACGGGAAGGACCGATCGCCCTCCTGGCTTGCGCCCACCCGTCCAGCACCTCACCCCTGTGGCGTTCTCCTCCCGCCCTTCCGCCTTCGCCCCTCACCAGTCGCGTAGGGGATCCTCCTCCAGCTCCTCCTCTTCCTCCTCCTCCTCCTCCTCCTCCCCCTCCTCCCCCTCCTCCTCCTCCTCCACCTCCTAAATACACTCAAATCAGCAGAATCGCATATCCCCTCCCCTCGTACTCACCTGGGCATCGACCTTCCTTCCTCAGACCTCCCGCCTCCCCTCCTCATCCTCCTCCTCCTACTCCTCTCCTCATCCTCTCCTCCTCCTCCTCCTTTACCTCCTACTCTCCTCTCCTCCCTCCTTCCTCTCCTCTCTCTCTTCCCCCTCATCCTCCTCCTCGCTCTCCTCCTCCTCCTCCCCTCCTCCCTCCTCCTTCCTCCTCCTCCTCCTCCTCCTCCTCCTCCTCCCCCTCCCCCTCCCCTCCTCACTCCCCCCCTCCCCCTCCCCACCCCCTCCCCTCCCCTACCCTCTGCCCCACAATTTGTTTGTTTGTCGAATCTAAGAAACATGCGGAGAATGTTCATAGATCTACGAGCAGTGTACGCATTTCTCGTAGAGTCGGCGAGAGAATAAGTTCAGGGGCAGATCAAATCTGTAGTATCCTCTACTCGAACCAGGGTCCAGACACTTTGTGGGAAGTTGCTTGATTGGCACTGCTCGGTGCCTGGAGGCCCGCAGGGGGGTCATTGGAGAGCCATTGAACTGCTGAGGAGGAAACGCCAGTCCCGGGGAAGGGGTCAAGATTCTCTTTCTCCTCCTCCTCCTCCTCCTCCTCCTCCTCCTCCTCCGCGATCCTCCCTGCTCACGCTCCCACTGCTCATCCTCCTTTTCACGTAGGACCGACCTTAGCTGCAAGCGTGGGTGTCTATCCTCCTCTCTCCTCCCCTCCTCCTCCTCCTTCCTCCTCCTCCTCTAATTCCTGCTCCTTCTCCTCCTCCTCCTCCTCCTCCTCCTCCTCTTCCTCCTCCTCTCCGCCTCCTCCTCTCCTCCTCCTCCTCCTCCTCCTTCCTCCCTCCTCCTCCTCCTCCCCTCCTCCTCCTCCTCCTCCTCCTCCTCCTCCTCCTCCTCGACAATTGCTCAATGAGAATACTACTCTCCCTCTTCCTCTGATGACGTGCTGGGAATGTTCGCCCCCCCCCCCGCGTCCTGTTTTTTACACACAGGTGTCCCGGGAGTTGGGTTTTCGCTTGCATTTTTTTCAAAATGCTGCTCTCGCTGAGGCGCCGGCCTCATTTTCGGGCCCCGCTCGTTCCGAATCGTGCTCCCGCTGCAGCGCTGGTCTCATTTCCGCGCTTCCGCTCGTTCCGAATCGTGTTCCCGCTGCAGCGCTGGCCTCATTTCCGCGCTTCCGCTCGTTTCGACTCGTGCTCCCGCTGCAGCGCTGGCGTCATTTCCCGTGCCATGCCACGGCGTGCAATGCAATGCTAGGTTGATACTACGCTTTGCGGTGCTCTTCTACGCCATGCCATGCCGTGCTCTACAATGCATCGCGTACCCTTTCGGGATCATTGCCCTGCTCGACATCCGACTGTGCGAGTAGAGAGGGGATCTGCGCCATGGTAAGGGATGGGAGGGAGGGGTAGGATGTCAGATGACGCGAGCGCACCTAGCTTGTCCTCCTCCCCCTTCCTCCTCCCTCCTCCTCCTCCGCCTCCTCCTCCTCCTCCTCCTCCTCCTCCTCCTCCTCCTCCTCCTCCTCCTCCTCCTCCCCCCTCTGCTCGCCTCTGCGTCGGCTGGCGTGTGCACCTGCTCCTTCAGGGGCTGGCGACCTGAAAAAGGCGGTTCGTCGAATGTCTGAGGACGTCATGCGGTTTTTGTCTATCCATGGCTTCTGAAGCCCTCGATCCTTGCTCTATGGCCGGTGTTTTTCCCAGATTTTTTTGTTGAAGATCCCGGGGCCCGAAACGGCCCTCCAGACACCCAACTATAATGAAAAGGCCAGCCGCCCTGACATTAGAGGTCCAGGGTCTGGGTCCATCATCCCCTGGCCTGCGAGCAGGGAGAAGGGCAAGCTCGGGAGAGCCAGAGAGCATGGGTTCAGACGAAAGGTCGGGGAATAGGGAAAGGGGGAAGTAGGAAATCTGCTGCATGCAGCTGGCTCTGGCCTCGCAGCCAAGCTCCTTTCTCGATGCATCGGCGCCTCCAGCGCCGGGAGCCACTGGGAAGTCAGCTGCGTGAGCTGATTCGCCAGTCCCCCTTTGCTAACTCCCACTTTTGTCCGACCAGAGAGTAGCCCCCACCTTGCAGGTCTCCACCGCGACGGCGACGACGACGACGACGATGACGACGACGAGGACGAACCACCCTGCGCACCTCGCGCGCGGACTTGCAGGGTTGAAGTTCTTGCGAGGGTTTATTGAAGCCGCGTCCGCACTGTTTTTTCTCGCTGCCTTGATCCTAGTCTAGCTAAATCCAGCTTCTTCTGAGTTAGTGATTTAGTAAAGGGTATCCAGCTTAATATGGCTTAGTATCTTTTCTATCCAGCATGGTGTTTCCTAGCCGTACCTGCGAAGACCTCCCAGGAGTTGCGACCCAGCTTGACTGTCCCTCAGCACCTCGATCCCTGATCCTAAATTGCGGTTCGAGGTTTCGAGGTATGTTTGGCCCGTGCGGGGTGTCCAGGGTCCTCCAGAGACTCTTGGGGCCCTCCGATAACCGTTCAAACACAAGAAAAAGCCTTACATTCGAAGCCCGCACGGAGCCACAGACAGCATGAGAAAGTATCCAAACATTCTCGTGAACCTCTGGAAGCTTTCGAAAGCGACATTACCGTCAAGTCGCTGAAACAAGGACCACTTCGGGCTCAGGAGGAGCTTGTGTGTTCGGGCCAATCCTCAGACCTGGGTCGGAGAACCGCTTCCTGCCCGAGACCAAACAAGCATTCCTTGTGGTAACACTCCTTGTGGTAGCACGATTACTGTGGTAGCACTCCCAACACTTGCTCGGCATTCCTTGTGGTAACACGATGGCTGCAGCTGCGCTTGTTATCCGCACCATGTGGTGCGTTTGTGGGTGCCCGAGCTGTGTATGGACTTGGGTTGCTTTCCAGGGATGTCTCGCACGACTGGGGCTTCTCAGGTCCGCAAACCACGTTGGGGTGACAGCCCGTGCGGTGAGGTCTCTCGGGGGTCCGAGGTCGCTGCACGGTCGGTCACCGCACAGCTTCGTGACCCCCCGCGATCTGCGGGAGGGGAGGGGGGATTGGGCCAGCGGTCGCAGCGAACGGGGCTTCCGAAGGACGCCTTGCTGGACGAGAGGACCCGGTCCCTGATGGCCAGGATAACTTTCGAGCACGGCGGGCCCGAGTTCGACAGCAGATACCCCGACGGCATCCCCACGTCAATCGACGTGTTCGTCAAAGGCGGTGGGAAGGTGACCACTCACCCTGCTCCTCGTCCTGGTCTTTCTTCTTGTCCGCCTGCCGCTTTGCCCGCTCCCCCTCCTAAAGCTATCCACCCCTTCTGCCACCTCCCCAATCTCCCTATCCTTATGTTGCTGCTGCTCCTCCTACGTGTTCCCCCCAATACCCTCCTCCCCCTTCCCATCCTCCCTATCCGTCTCCTCCTCCTCCTCCTCCTCCTCCTCATCATCATCATCATCATCATCATCATCATCAGCATCATCCTTCCCTTCTTCCCCCTATCCCCGTTCCTCCCACTCCTCTTCCTCCTCTCTCTTCCTCCTCCTCTCCTCCTCCTCCTCCTCCTCCTCCTCCTCCTCCTCCTCCTCTTCCCACTCCCCCTCCCCTTCTTCCCTCCCCTTCCCGCTCCCGCTCCCGCTCATCCTTCTTGTTCTTATCATCGTCCTCGTCGTCGTCCTCCTCCTCCTCATCCTCCTCTTGGTCCTCATCCCCCCCCCCTCCTCGAAAGTACTCGAGCGGCCTGGTGATGTACCCCTCTGGCCACGCGAGGAACACTACCGCCGACCTCAGGCGGCTTGCAAGCAGGATGAGGAGTATGAGGAGAGGAGAAGGATGAGGAGGAGGCGGAGGAGGAGAACAGATGAGGATGAAGAGGATGAGGAGGACGACGCTGAGGAGGGAGTCGGAAGGATGCCGAGAAGGGGTATGCCGAGGGAGTCGGAAGGATGCCGAGAAAGAGGAGGAGGAGGACGAGGAAAAAGATGAGGAGGAGGAAGAGGAGGCGGGAGAAGGAGGAGGAGGAGGAGGAGGAGGAGGAGGAGGAGGAAGAATAGGAACAGTAGGAGGAGGAGGACGACGAGGAGGAGGAGGAGGAGGAGGAGGAGGACGGGGACGAGGGAGAGGAGGAGGAGGAGGAGGAGGAGGAGGACGAGGAGGAGGAAGAGTAGGAGGAGGAGGAGGAGGAGGAGGACGACGACGACGTTGAGAAGGGAGTCGGAAGGATGCCGAGAAGGGGTATGAGACGGGGTATGAGGGAGGAGGAGGAGGAAGAGGAGGAGGAGGAGGAGGATTTCGCATTTTCGCCTGTTCGCGCCCTGGCGCTGCGCTAGCCCTCGCGCCGCCGGGGGCTGGCAGGTGAAAACGCGAAATCGTCAGAACCTCCCCATCCCCCCCAGAAAGTATCCGAAGAGCTTCACGCGAAAAAGCTGCAACACCTGAGGAAGAGCAAGGTTCCTCACGGCCAGTGCACACGAAACCCGTGGAAACACAATGTTTCGTGACGTGGAGGCGCCAACACCTCATGTTTTCACAGGCTTCGTGGCGATCGGGCAGCAAAAACATTGGTTTTCTCTAGCTCGGTTAACTGTTTCGTGTGTTTTTGTTGGGGATATTATCGGTTTTCTTGGTTGTTCTGATTGTTTTTGTTTTTTTTGCAATTTCGAATGTTCGCGCCCTGGCTCAGGTCGGCTCTTGCGCTGCCAGGGGCTGGCAGGCAAAAATACGATACAGTTTTTTACAGAAAATAAAAAAAATAAGGAAAGCCAAATGCCTCCCACGAAATCCATGCGAAGACATGGCAGAACCTTCGGAAAAGCAAGGTTCCTCACAGCTGGTGCGCAAGATACCTGTGAAAAAATACGGTGTTCCATGACGTCGAGGCGCCACAGCCTTTGCCTGTTCGCGCCCTGGCGCTGCGCCGGTCCTTGGCGCCGCCAGTGGCGGGCAGGCAAACATGCGAAGAGTGCAGAGTATGCAAAAACATGCGAAGAAAGCAAAACAGGCACGAAGAAAACATGACAAATATGGAAATGCGAAGAAGGCAATATACCGCGCGACAAACATAAAACCACTATATGCTACCTTATCGCCACGGAACCTACGAAGACACATGGTTTGGTCGCCCCGATGTCATGACACCTTGTGTTTTCACAGGTCTCGTGTGCACCAGCCGTCAGAAACTTTGTTTTTTGTTTTCGGTGTTGCGTTTCTCCGTATAGAACTGTTAGGATGCCCTTGGTTAGCTTCAAATTGTATGTTTTTAATCAGTTTCGCCTGCCCGCCCCTGGCGGCTCTACAAAAGGATTCCTTCAGTGGCGGCCTTGCAAACATATTCCTTTTGCGGCGGCCTTACAAAGGACTCCTTTTTGGGGCGGCCCTACACAATAAAACGTTTTTTGGTGGCGACCTTACATCCGGATTCCTTTTGTGGCGGCTTTACGACATGATTTTTTGACGCCTTTGCAACATTTTTTCTGCGTCGGCCTTACAGCATGATTTCTTGTTGTGGCGGCATTACACAAGGATTCCTTTTGCGGCGTCTCGTTGCGCTTGGGTGGGGATGGTGACAGGCCGCCGCGGCCCAGGAACTTGCACGGCGCATTGACAGGGCCTGCCTGCGAAGAAGTGTCTTCAGCTCCCAGGCAAATGTTGACGTAGCTTTTCCCTTCCTGGCCCCTCCATGCCTTGCGCGCCGTGGCTTTACGACGCGGGCCCCAGAGGTCTCAACCCTTATTCCCAGGAGCGAGTTCTGGTTGCCCTTCTTGTGAGTCCCGTGGGTAAGAGGAAGGAAGGATGGAAGAGCGTGGAGGATGGGGGAGGGGTGGAGGATGAGGAGGAGGAGGAGGAGGAAAGACGGGCTCGGCGAAAGGATGGAGGCATGTGGAGGGAAGAGGAGAGGAGGACGAGGAGGAGGAGGAACACTATGAAAAACAGGAGGAGGAGGGGTAGCAGAGCCAATGCGGCGGTCGTGAAGGAGGAGGACGAGAGAGAGAGGGGAGGAGGAGAAGGGTGGAAGGAATAATAGGGGATGAAGGAGAAGGAGGTGGAGGAGGAGGAGGCGGAGAGGAGGAGGAGGAGGAGAGGAGGAGGAGGAGGAGGAGGAGGAGGAGGAGGAAGAGGAGGCGGAGGAGGAGGAGGAGGAGGAGGAGACGGAGGAGGAGGAGGACGAGGAGGAGGAGGAGCAATGAGGAGGAGGAGGAGGAGTTACACGACATAGGATGAGGGTTAGGGTGAGGAGGAGTTGAAGGAGGAGAGGAGGGAGGAGGGGAGGGAGGTAGGAGGGGCAAGGCCTAGCTTGTCATGCGCTGATCCCCTTCTCCTCTTCTCCTCCTCCTCCTCCTCGTCCTCCTCCTCCTCCCAAGGGTACACTTGCATCCCAAGGATGGGCCACCTTCCCAAGGGTACCCTTGCATCCCTGCCTCGGTCCATCCCTGGCCACTTTCGTTGGCCGCGCCCCGCTCGAGAAGCTTCGAGATGGGCGTCCAAGGCCCTTGCACCCTTACCGTGCATCCTTACGATACGGGTCGACTGTACTGCCTGACCTGCGGGGCGGTCGGGGTCCCACAGCCGAGGACGTTGCTGTTGGAACGTGGGCCGCCCGCTGGCAAGGGTCGGGGGCCTCTCTCGCGTTTGTCTCGTGGGCACCCTCCACGGTGAGGTCAGGTGTGGGCTCCCCCGTGAGGAGGCTGAGATTTGTCGTGCGCCCAGGCTAGCTCTGGGTCACTGCGCTGTTCTGCAATTGTAGCTGCAACTCCCTTGTGCCAGGCGTGCGAGCAGTGTGTGGGCACAGGCTTGCATCGCACGTACGTGTGCAGCGCGCGTGATGAGTGGCGTAGGAAAGTAGGAGGTGGGCACATGCAGCAGCGCGGTACCAATCCCGACCCAGGGTTCGAACTCCTGCTGGCTCGAGGCCTAACCGAGGACCCGAGTAGGCTCCTGGATGATCTCCCGATGGCGTGTGAGGTGCAAGGAGAAGGAGATCACACAGGAGACGTGTCAGGACAAATGCTTTCCGACGGTTCATGGTGGCACGGTGAGCATCTCTTTTTGCGCAGATCGGGATGGGGTACGCGCAGTTCTCGGACGGTGGCGAGGAGTGGAGTCTCTCTAGTGTTGGACCCTTGCACCTCCCCAAGAATCGGTAGGAAGTTCTCCCGCAGAGCTCGATGCGATCCTCATGCGCTTGAGGTGTGCCATCCAGCCAGTAAAGATGCACTGTGATCGCCAGGCCGTCGTAGGTGGAGCCAGCAGGGGTGAAGAGTGGTGCTCCCGCCCAGCCAGGGCCCACAGCGACCTCTCGCGTGGGTTTAGGTTTCGTGTTAATGTTCTGGGCGGTCTGGGGCCCCGAGGGGTCACCATTCAGACGATCAAAGCCCCCGCGACTCGTGCGCAACAGCGCGAGTCGGGGGAGCGTCCTAAACAATCATCCGTTCTGGCAGCAGCGGGTGTATAAACAGAAGTTTCACATGGTAGCAGATGCAGTGGAGTGGCTGTTCGGCTTGGAGTGATGGCGTCGGATGTTGCGGGCACAGTATCCGGCGCCACCGAGGACAGCATCACGCATCTCGGAGGGACCACGGCCGTAGAATCGACTCCCCCTCCTCTGATGCCGTCTCTTCCCCCGCGTTTGACCGAGAGCGGACCGACGGCCGGCTCCGAGATAGTCGAGATAACCCGCCGGGATCGCCTTCTCAATGCCCAAAATGCTGGGACAGCATCTTGTAATTCGGTCAACGTGTGTTCTCCGTCGACTGTGCGCCTCGTACGCCCAGTGTCGGTGGAAGAATCCGATCGAGAGCCCCTGCAAGGGGGCCAACAGTCGGACGTCCAAGGGTAGGTTGACGCGTTTGCAGGAGGGGCGCCATCCCAAACCAGGGGCTCCTGCGTAGAACAAGTTGCAAGGTGCCAGCAAGCGCCCGTTTCCCTGACCTGTGGCGGGCATTATCGGCCGAACAAGACCCCGAACAGGATCCTCCTCCTCCCTCTCCACCTCCTGCAGAGCCGCACCTCTCCGACGTCGTGCTTTTCGCTCGATGCCAGCGCTCTTCTTCAATCATGGCCTCCTGAGGCTCGTGCTGGGCCCCTCGGATGTTTCTAGAAGTGGTCCTGGCCCAAGGCGTCTCCAGCTGCTCGCAAAACTTTGGAGCCGCTGGACCTCCTGAGCCTCGCAGGGGTAGCTCCGGAGGCCGCGGGGGCCTCCTTGGAAGTCCTGGACACCTTGTGCCAGGGACACATTTGGCAACATCCGACCCTCCCATTCCCCTCTGTTTCTCCTGGAGACTGTTTTTCACCCCCTTGCGATAACGGGCCGGCGCCGTCCGGGAATGCTTACGAATAGTTCATTCCCAGATGGAGCTTGCGCGAATCGTGATGTGACCAGTGGGGAGGGAAGGTGGGGAAGGGAGGGGCTGGTCACGGGCGTTATCGCGAATAATGAAAACATGCGCTCTTGCAGGGAACTGCTCAGGAACAAGAACGAGGTTCTCGGGGGGCTCGTGTTCAAGGACGCCCCAGCCTATGAGAAGTTCATCGGCCCCCTCGTGCGAATGAAGGAGCTGTCTGCCGAAGAAGTGCAGCTGATCTACAGCTACGACTTCTCCTCAACGCGTCAGCACGCGTGCATTGATGGCGAGAGGGAGGCACCCGTGTCCAGGCTGTGAGGCGATGGGCAGTCTGTGCCATTTGTCTTAGTCTCTGAGAGCGTCTACGGTTAGAAAGCCCAGTGTTCGCTAGGGACTGGCCCTCCCACACAACGACCCAAACCCTTTCGAAACCCTGCTGAAACCTGCCGGAACCTTCTGAAAAGCCTCCAAGAACCTTTCGGGGAGGGGTTCTGGAAGTTATCGGGAAGGTGTCGGTCGTTTTGGGGAAAACCAGTTCCTAGCGAACCCTGGATTTGCTTAGCGTGTCGCTCCTCCGATTCCTGACCCACCACACCTCTGCGCGGTACGCTAACCGCGTCTTAATCCACAAGCGTCAACGCCCCGAGCTCTTCCCAGCCTGCCACCTCGGAGCCGAGCGACACGCTACCCGCCTGCAAGGCATGGCATTTCACAGGGGCCGCCGCCGCGACAAGCTAAGCAAAAGTTCCCGATCGTAGTCTCCGAGGGCGCCTGCCCCGCTGTTGTGCGACCTGTCGCTCTTCTCACTCGGCGAAGGCCGGCGAAGGCGGGCATCGATGTTTGTATCGTCGATGAGAGTTAGCTTAGGAAGCTGCAGTGTCCACGATGGTGCAACAAATCGCCTGAAAGTGCATGCCAGGACACTTCCTTGGCGCGCCCGAGGGTACCCAGTGTAATCAGCGGAGAAGCCATGGTAATGGTAGTGGCCGTGGTAATGGCAGCGGTGGCAGTCGTCGTCGCCTTCGCGATATTGAGAATGGATATATATATATATATATATATATAAATAAATAAATAAATAACAATTTATAGATGTGTATATATATATATGTGTGCGATCCCGACATTGCAGCATCATGAGCGCATTAGCGCAAGTGTTGCCAGCAGTGTGTTGCCGTCCACCCGGGGGGTCTCTTGGGCCTGCGGCGCGTCTTGCTCGCAGTGCGGATATGAGATCGTGGGCTTGGTTGGGAGCACAGCTGTTTACAATGCATCGTGGCCGTAAGTTGGCATGCACATTGTGCCCCCCCTTATCGTAAGATGTGGTTCGTGTTTTTCACCCTTCGCGTGTCCCCACCAGCCCATTCAAAAATCCTGCCCATGAGAGTTGACGGGAAAAGAGACGAAGAGACACATGTAGTGAAACAAAGCGGGAAACCAGGGTCCACAGAGAGATCTTTGGGAGCCAAGGGCATGGCCTTGGAGGGCCTCTTCGGGCCATCCCTGGGGCCCGCGTGGGGGCGAGGGGAGGAGGAGGAGGAGGAGGAGGAGGAGGAGGAGGAGGAGGAGGAGGAGACAGATGACTTGACCTCCGTTGGGATCTGGCCTGGGACGCGCGAGCAGCATGCTTCGCAGCTCGTGGGAGGCACTCGCTCAACAGGGGATGGCGCGAGCGCGCAAAGATAACCACCCCAGGCGCCTGGCGCAGCCCGAAGCGCGCAATGTTAATTAGGCGAGCCAGCAAAATGGCGGCGGAGAGAGAACGGTGATGAAGAGGATAATTTGCGACGGTCGTTCCCTGCTGGTGGCAGCCGCGTCTCGCCTCAGGTTGTCTAGACCCTGATCGTCAGACGCCTCTTGGCCCCACAAAATAATCAGAATTAGGAGGAAGACGGAGGACCCCTCTGGAACCCGTCGGGCCTCCTGACTGCCGATTCTTGTTGCTGCTGCTGCTGCTGCTGCTGTTCGTCGTCCTTGTTCCCTTCAGATCCAGGAGCAGCGCAACGACCCACGACGGGAGTCTGATGCCACTTCGACCACCTGTGCCCATCACAGATCGCCTCTTGGCTGTGAAGACCACGCGCGAAGATCGAGAGTTGCATTCGCGACTGCTCCACGACATCCTGCCTCTCCACGACGTCGGACGTCGGGGCCCGCCCCCCCCCCTCGCCCTCTGGAGCCGCTTCTCGGCACAGGCCGCGCCTGACCCCGAGCCGCCTCCTCGGCCCCACATGGCGCCAGCAGCGGCGTGCTGCTCCGCGCAGCTTGGGCCCGCCCCGACCCGGCGGCACCGCGCAGCCGGCCCGCTGCCTGCGCAGCCGGCGCAGAGCCCGTCGACGCCCGCCCCGGCGCGCGCCGTGCCGCGCACGGCCGCGCGGGCGCGGACGGCGCTGGCGGCGGCCCTGGCCAGCGGCACCCTCGCCGCGCGGGCCTTCGCGGGCGCCCCGGGCGGCCAGTGCGCGGCGCGGCCCCGCGCGCGGGGCGCGGCGGTGGCCGGCGCGGGGGCCGTGCCGCCGAGGAGGCGCGCCGGCGGCGCCGCGCGAGGTGGCAGGGCGCGCGCGGGCGCCTGCCGCGGCCGCCGCAGAGGGCCCGCCGCGGCGCCGCGAGGCCGGCATCGCCGCGGCCGTGGCGTCGTGGCTGTGGCCCGCGGGCGGCGCCGTCGCGGCGCTGGGGGGCCCCATCGTCGTGCTGGGCGCGGGCGGCAGGACTGGGCGCCAGTGCGTGCTCGCCGCGCTGCGGCGCGGGGAGCGCGTCGTGGCCACGACGCGCTCGGGCACCTTGCCAGAGGACCTGGCCGCCTCCTGCGCCGGCGGCATGTGCGAGGCGAGGGCGGTGGACGTCACGAAGCCCGAGACAGTCGCGCCGTCGGTGGCCGGGGCGCGCGGCGTGATCTTCGCAGCGTCGCAGTCCAAGGGCGGCGGCACCGCCAAGGCCGTGGACAACGACGGGCTCGTGAGTGTGGCGCGGGCGTGCATTGCGGAGAGGGTCAAGCGCCTGGTGGTTGTGAGCTCTGGGGCCGTGAGCAGGCCAGACAGCGCCGTGTACCAGTTCCTGAACCTCTTCGGCGGCATCATGGCCGAGAAGATCTCGGGCGAGAACCGCGTGCGCGCCCTGTACGCGGGCCTGCCCGTCAGCGACGTTGGGTACACGGTCGTGCGCCCTGGCGGGCTCACAGAGCAACCCGCCCGTGGGGCCAGCGCCATCGAGCTGAGCCAGGGTGACGCCTTCAGCGGGCGCATCTCGCGCGCCGACGTCGCGGAGCTCTGCCTGGCCGCCGTGGACTCCGAGGCGGCACGTGGCGCCACCGTGGAGTGCTACGACGCCGACACCGCCAAGCCGCTGGAGGCTGTCGGCATCTTCAACCTCCCTGCGCCAGACGTCCTTCACCATGACTGCTCCTCCCTCCTCCCTGCTTGCCTCCTCTTCTCCTCCTCCTCCTCTTCCTCCTGCTCCTCCTCCTCCTCCTCCTCCTCCTCCTCCTCATCATCATCATCATCAGCATCAGCATCAGCATCAGCATCATCATCATCATCATCATCATCATCATCATCATGCTGCTGCTGCTGCTGCTCCTCCTCCTCCTCCTCCTCCTCCTCCACTTCCTCTTTCTCCTCCTCCTCCTCCTCCTCCTCGCCTTCCTCGCCTTCCTTCTCCTGCTCCTCCTCCTCCTCCTCCTCCTCCTCCTCCTCCGCCTCCTCCTTCTCCTCCGCCTCCTACTCCTTCGCCTATCCGGCTCCTCCTCTTGCTGCTGGTCCTCCTCCTGCTTCTGCTGCTGCTGCTGCTGCTGCTGCTGCTCCTCCTCCTCCTCCTCCTCCTCCTCCTCCTCCTCCTCCTCCTCCTCCTCCTCCGCTGGAGGCCGTCGGCCTCTCCAACCTCCTGCGCCAGACGTCCTCCGACGGCGGCGGGGCGCGCGCGGGCGCCGCCCTGCGCGGCGAGACCTGGGAGGCCCTGCTCGCGGGCGTGCTGCGCGACGCCTGACTCATGAGGGAGAAAAAAACTCACAGACACCTGACTCAGGAGAATGTGCTCAGGACGCCTGACTCTCGTGCGGCGCGACGCCTGACTCAGGAGGGGGAAAAAACATAGGCACTAACAATCGTCGATTCCCCAACAAATGGGGAAGATATGGGAAGCGGAGGGGAAGTCGAGCATCCAGAGAATATGTCAACGTATTGCGGATCTTGAGATTCGTGTGTGTGTGTGTGTGTCAAATGTTGCCATGTCGGAAGGATGGGGTTATTGTTATTTCTCCGACCGCGCCAACTCCCACACACCCCTCCTTCCATCTCCTCATGTCATATTATGGTTTGCCTTTATGTTATGCTATAGTATGGCATGATATGGTATGACATGTTTTGTAATCTGATATGATATGGTACGATATGGTATGGTATGATCTGCTATGATACGGTATGGTATATTCATGGGCTGGGACGGTCTGATATGGTATGGTATGGTGCGGTGCGATATGTGATGCTATGTTGTGATATGATGTGTTGTGATGTGTTATGGCATGTTACGGTATGATATGGTCTGCTGTGATGATTTTGGTGATGATGATGGTGGTGATGATGATTTTGACGATGATGATGAAGATGATGACGATGATGATGATGATGAAGATGAAGATGACGATGATGATGATGATGCTGGTGATGATGATGATGGTGATGACGATGATGATGATGATGATGTTGATGCTGATGCTGCTGATGATGATGATGATGATGATGATGACGATGATGATGATGATGATGATGATGATGCTGATGATGGCGGATTATGAGATGCCTCGAGCGAGGCGTGGTTTGCGAAACAGTCACGCGAGAAGCTGTGACAAGACGCAAGAAACCCGGCCAAATTTGGCAATGCGGGCTCCTGGCCCCTCAAGGACTTCTCAGGAGTGAAGATTGAGGCTTCGAGGATTCGGCAAAGGACCCGAGGACACACACACACACACACAAACACACATCTGTGACCAGCGGCACGGTGGCGAATATAATCATCGAAACCGACGTCTGCCCAGCAGCAGTATTGCTCCAGCAACGCGTGTGCGCCAGTCACTTTTAGTAGGTGGATCTCTCAAGCTCTCCGCCGCCTCTGGCGGTGCGCGTTGCGAGCAGGAACGCAGCAAAGCCACAGGACAGCGCGGCATTGACAGTGTAGCTCCGCACGCGTGACGAATGTTAGGGAGCTTGAGAGATCCACCTGCCAAAAGTGTCCCCGTCGGTTCGAGACCGGGAGCGGCCGTGCGCTCCCGGTGCCCAGCCGTGCTGGCCCGGTCGCGCGAGGCCCCGTCGCGCCTTGGCGGGCCCAGACCTCCGCTGTCGTGGTGCTTTCAGCGCGTGGGCGCCCAGATCACTGATCGGGCGGGCACTGCTGGGGGGGGGCCCAAAGGGGGGGTGAAGAAACAGGCCCAAAAGGGCCCCTTTGGGTCCCCTTTTGGAGCCAACAGGGGCCCCAAAGGGGCCCCAGAGGTGCCCTTCTGGGCCCTTTGCCTCACCCTCCAGTTGGGCCCCCCCCCTCCCTCTTAATTGGCGCCCGCCCAGCCAGAGCCTTCGAACCCTTCCCTGGGGGCCGCTTGCTCCTCTGGGGTCGTCTCTCGACGGCGCCAGGGCCCAAAGAGCGAGCCCCGAAGGCGCCGCACAGGGGAGGGGCCGCCAGCCCGACGTCGTGTCTTCATGCGCCTGGAGGTCTGGGCTGGAGTCGGGCACGTCCCCCTGCAGGCGGATCTTGGACGAAAAATTAAAAATAGCCCCGCCCAAAAAATTAGCCTGACGAAAGACCCAACCATACGTAGTTGTGAATACCGCAATTGTGGATATCGTGGGGGCTCCTTCTCCTCCTCCTCCTCCTCCTCCTCCTCCTCCTCCTCCTCCTCCTCCTCCTCCTCCTCCCTCCCTATGGGACCACGAAACGTGTGAGGGGTGTGCCAAAATGGGGCGGCGGCGCCATGCGAGTTGCGCCACTTGGACCTGAGATGGAGCTCCCTGTGGGGCCACGGAACGTGTGAGGGGTGTGCCGAAATGGGGCGGCGGCGCCATGCGCACTGCGCCACGGGGGCCTTCGGTGGAGCTCCCTATGGGGCCACGAAACGTGTGAGGGGTGTGCCGAAATGGGGCGGCGCCGCCTATGGGGCCACGAAACGTGTGAGGGGTGTGCCGAAATTGGGGGTGGAACCGCATGCGAGCGCAGCCACTGGGGCCTTCGGTGGAGCTCCCTATGGGGCCACGAAACGTGTGAGGGGTGTGCCAGAATGAGGGGTGGAACCGCATGCGAGCGCAGCCACTGGGGCCTTCGGTGGAGCTCCCTATGGGGCCACGAAACGTGTGAGGGGTGTGCCAGAATTGGGGGTGGAACCGCATGCGAGCGCAGCCACTGGGGCCTTCGGTGGAGCTCCCTATGGGGCCACGAAACGTGTGAGGGGTGTGCCGAAATGGGGGGTGGAACCGCATGCGAGCGCAGCCACTGGGGCGTTCGGTGGAGCTCCCTGTGGGGCCACGAAACGTGTGAGGGGTGTGCCGAACTGGGTGCGGTGGGCGCATGCGAACGCAGCCACGGGGGCCTTGGGTGAGGCTCCCTATGGGGCCACGAAACGTGTGAGGGGTGTGCCGAAATGGGTGCGGTGGGCGCATGTGAACGCAGCCACTGGGGCCTTCGGTGGAGCTCCCTGTGGGGCCACGAAACGTGTGAGGGGTGTGCCGAAATGGGTGCGGTGGGCGCATGCGAACGCAGCCACGGGGCCTTGGGTGAGGCTCCCTATGGGGCCACGAAACGTGTGAGGGGTGTGCCGAAATGGTGCGGTGGGCGCATGTGAACGCAACCACTGTGGCCTTCGGTGGAGCCCCCTGTGGGGCCACGAAACGTGTGCCGAACGCAGCCACTGGGGCCTTCGGTGGAGCGGGGCCACGAAACGTGGGGGTGTGCCGAACTGGGTGCGGTGGGCGCATGCGAACGCAGCCACGGGGGCCTTGGGTGAGGCTCCCTATGGGGCCACGAAACGTGTGAGGGGTGTGCCGAAATGGGTGCGGTGGGCGCATGCGAGCGCAGCCACTTGGGCCTTCGGTGGAGCTCACTGTGGGGCCACGAAACGTGTGAGGGGTGTGCCGAACTGGGTGCGGTGGGCGTATGCGAACGCAGCCACGGGGGCCTTCGGTGAGGCTCCCTATGGGGCCACGAAACGTGTGAGGGGTGTGCCGAAATCGGTGCGGTGGGCGCATGTGAACGCAACCGCTGGGGCCTTCGGTGGAGCTCCCTGTGGGGCCACGAAACGTGTGAGGGGTGCGCCGAAATGGGCGCGGTGGGCGCATGCGAACGCAGCCACAGGGGCCTTCGGTGGAGCTCCCTATGGGGCCACGAAACGTGTGAGGGGTGTGCCGAATTGGGTGATGACGATGACGATGATGATGGTGGTGATGATGACGTCGATGATGTCGATGATGATCATGGTGATGACGATGACGATGATGATGATAATGATGATGATAATGATGATGATAATGATGATGATGATGATGGTGATGATGATGGTGATGATGATGATGATGATGATGATGATGCGAGGGGGGAGGAAGGGGAGGAGGAGGAAGGAGGAGGAAGGAACGCGGGGCGACGCCTCTTCAAAACGAGGACCCAACACCACAGGATGGTTGGGATAAATAAAAAATTGTCACAAATAGTAAGAAAAACTCTCCCATTGGATTTTTGGACTATTTCTGCGCATTCCCTCTGTAGGGGGGACACCCCCGACTGAAGCCTGGGCCCGTGCTCCGGCGGACCTGCCGTGCGCTCCAGTTTCCAGATTCTGTTTGTCGGCGGCGCGCAGAGGGGGGGGGCACGAGGAGGGTCAGCCTCCCTCCTCCTCCTCCTACTCCTCCTCCTCCTCCTCCTCCTCCTCCTCCTCCTCTGGGAGGAGGCCTCTGAGGAGCCCTCCCGCCTTCTGAGGACCCTCCTCGGAAGCCTGCAGGCCCTCCCGAGGAGCCCGCCCGCTTGAGACCGCTGTTGCATCCCCCAGCGATGGCGGGCGTGACCAGAGGGGGGAGGGGAGAGGGGGGCGGGGGGCGGGGGCTGGTCACGTGACGATTCGCGCAGGCGCCGTCTGGGAATGCTCAGGACTGGCCAGTTCCCAGACGGCAGCGGCGCGGATCGTGACGCGACCAGGGGGGGCAGAGAGTACGGGGGGACGGGGCCCGTCACGGGCGCAGTCGCGAGCAAGAAGGAGCGGGCTCCTTGCTCGAGAAGGCCGTGCCCCCTCGACACCCCCCCCCTCCCCGTGGCCCCCGACACGCGGCTCGCTGTCGCAGCGGGGGCCGGCGGACGTCTGGGCCCCCTCTCCCCGGGGCTGGCGCTGGCGCCTGCTCCCCGAGCCGTTCTGTGCGCTCAGGCAATCTCAGGAGGGGAAATAACACACAGACACAATTAATCGTCCCCTCCCAGGAAAATTTGGGAAAATATGGGAAGTGGGGGGAAGACAAAAACCCAGAAAATATGGGAAAATATGGGGAATCGGGTTATTTGTGTGTATTTATTTGTGTGTCCTGGGGCCCCTTGAAATCATCGAGTTGGGAGGACGGGGTCAGGCTTCCGTCGGGCGTGTCCCTCTGTTTTTGAACATGTTGGGGTGGAATGTTCGTCCAGAATCCGCCTGTCGGGGGACACGCCCGACCCAAGGTCAGGAGGAATTCAGGTCGGACGGAAGGGGGAGGCTGCACCATCAGCATAGCGACAGTCACAGGTCTTCCGAGTGTTCTCTCTTATTTGTCCGTGTGAGAACCTGCGTTTCCATGGTCGTCATCTTTTCCTGTTGTTCTCTTTGATTTTCTTGGGCTCAAGATGCCGCCAATGGAGGTCCCCACACTTCAACACTTCTGTGAGGCCGCCACAGAAGGAATCCCTTTGCACAGGCTGGTACGAAAGGATTCCACTTGTGTAGGCCACTGCAGATCCCCCACACTTACCGTCTTTTGTATGAGAGAGCGCCACACAATGAATCCTTGTGCAAAGGCTGCTACAAAGGCCGCGAAAGGCTCGAGCCCCCCCGTGTGAACAGGCCTCACACACCTCCCCCTTTCCCTCCCGCGCATCTCGTGCAGTCACCCGCCATGGACCCCCCAGCCTGCTGAGAGGCTGGCCCTGACGCTCCGTGTGCGCCGCCGCGCGGCGCGGCGCTGCTGGTGGAAGATCCTGAATGACGACATGGCGACGATGCAGCAGTTTAGTACGATCTAGCGAGAACGCGAAGTTCGTAGGCTGGAACCCCTATTCATTGATCAGTCCCTCTGGCAGGACCGACTTTATCAGCTATGAGTTTCGCAACCAATACGGTATCTTATGCCTTGGCACACATATTCGACAGATTGCACAGCTATCCCATTACCGTGAAGAATCCAGATACTACTTTTGGATACACTGGGATGGGGGTTGGTCCCCACATGTTATTTCCGCCTGTGGATGCCCCATTGCGATATGTAAGCGACTTTTTTCTCCCAAGCACGTAGTCAGAATTGCCTCCCCGCCATCTGACCTACAGGGCCGTGCAGGCTCCATTGATATTGTACGAGGACATTTCCGAGTCAGGCTGATCGTGGGTTTCCTATTTCCAGTCCCACATAGCTCAAACGCAAAGATCAACATCACGGAACGGACATGCACACGAATTTGGCAATGGACTACAACAGAGATTACCTTTACTCCGACACGCATGACGCCCCTTCTTTTCAGCGACCTCAACCAAGGCATGGGGCGTCGTTATCGGGCCCTATGTACGGACGACAGCACCGAATCACAGCAGCCCGCCCCAGAGACTACCGTAGGCACACCCATTCACGAAAGACTCATCCTCAATCAGCTCTGCGCGTATAACACATTCTGGAATACTGGGCATACTTTTTTCGGCAATGGCGGTGCTCGCAGCAGAATTGATTATTGGATCGGCCCGATTGATGCGTTTCCTATCATTACGAAGCTCAAATTATGCTGGCGTTTGTATCAACGCCTGCGTGTCCTTCCCCGCATGCTCGATTACATCTTAATACTTATCCATGTCCAACTTATTGCCCAACGTTATCTTCTATCGACTATGCACTACGATGGGACTGGGCCCTGCTGACAGCAGGATTACAGGCGCGGTACCGACACGCTGAAATTCTACGTGGCCTACATCAGCAGCTCATTCAACATGCACATACTCTCCGAATTTTCCAACATGACCAGCTTTCCGACCGACATGCAGCACATGTTGCATACTTGGTCCAGCAAGCAGCGATTCTGCATTATTTTCGTCATGGAGGACATCCAGCTTGGTTCAAAGATGCTCAGCGTATACGACAGGAACTCCTCCGAGAACGTGCACAACGACGTGACGAAGGCATGGCGGTCGACGGCATCTATCTCAAGCTCATTCCTCACCGATTCCGCGAACATGCCCAATGGAAACGGACATGGTGGCATCATTTTCTCGATTAACATATCACCGAAGCCTACCGCCACCGCGACCTCTCACGAGCCGCCGAGTTCAGCAGACTTCGTGCAGGCTCTAAAGCAGGCCCTAAGAAACGGAATTACATGCGAAGTGGGAGGTCGAGTTTGCAAAGATACCGAAGAGTACCTCGAGAAATGCCAGCCAGAGGACCCTCAGCCCGAACCACTGATCGACGTAGAGATTCTCCAGGCCGAAGTCACCTTCCTGCGCGACGACAAGACCCACGACCCGAACACCGCCAAGCTGATCCTTGGCGCCAATGACTGGCAGGGCCGAGGCTTCTTGCTCGCTGGCCCATGTTCAGAAGGGAACGCGAAGCACCACCTAGACCCAGCCCCAGCGGACTGACTGGAGGAGAAGATATCGATATGGCTAGACTACTGCCGACGAATGACAGGATGCTACGATTGGCATCTGGCGGCATAATCCCTGCAGTGAGGCCCGCAGTAGATTCCGAGACGGGCTTCCCACACCAGACAGGTGAACTCCCATCAGATAATGCTGATCCTGAGGTACAGACCCACGATCTAGCCGCAGATGAGGAGGCTGCCGAATTTTTATTTTCACGACGTGTCCCGAGAGGTCCCTCCCAAGGCCCCCATCGTCCAGAGCCGTAGCTAGACTCCTATGCACTCTCCCCCCTTTTCCTGCTATCCTTGAGGAGTAGGAGATGAGGAGCATTTCCCTCCCCCATTCTCGTCGCCCGCCATAGCAGGATGTTGTTTGTCTGTAAGACCTCAGCTTTGGATCAGTGCGAGGCCTCACTTCAGAACCGCCCTCAGGGTCTTCCAACGCACAGCGCATGCCAGCCCGCATCAAGCGAGCTGCACCGTTGTAGCGACAGGCCATGCTAATCAGCAGGCAAGAGGCAGTTGGACACTGCAGCGACGAGCAAGGAATGCACTAATCTTTTAGCGGGCACGGCGGTACCAGTCAGGGCTTCGGTGTTGTTGGTGCGGTCGCACCCACCACACGTGGATACTCCCCACCTGTGAAACCAGTTTCATCCGTAACCGCTCCCATGTCGTTGTAAAAAAGGCTGCTACCCAATTTTTTTTCCATTACGGAGGCCGCTGCAGATCCCCCATACTTTCAAACCTTTTGTCAGACTGTCACATCAGGAACCCTTTTTGTAAAAGGCTGCTACAAGACGACGTTTTCAGCATGCCTTAGGTTGCATCCTTTTGCAAGGCCGTCACACAAGGATTTCTTAAGCACGGCCGCCACAGGTGATGGTGATGAGGCTGGTGATGCTGGTGGTGATGATGGTGATGCAGGTGAGAATCACGCTTGATGGCTAGACGTGTTTCAAAAGATTCGACCTGTCACCGCTGACATAGAGGGTCGCACGGGGGGGGGCTCGAGAATCGCAGGGAAACAGGCCTGAAGGGGCCCTGAGTGGCCCCTGGTGTGACACCGCGGGCCCAAGGTGTGCGCGGAAGGCGTGCATGTGTCCTTGAAATCCGACGATGCGACAAGAATGTAGCATCGCAGAAAAAAAAAACCCGACCAGGGCCCTAGACCGCATCTGCCTGCGACATATTTCCGGCCAGACCCAGATGTGAGAGCCCCCAGGGCCCGAAAGCCGGCGAAGACGCCCAGCGCGAAAAAAGGAAACGCCCAGATTTGAGGGATTGCCCCCCTGCGAGTCGGAGATGTATCCATACTCACCGCTTGGGCAACCGACGTCCTGGGACCCCAACGTGCTGGGGGTATGGATATGGAAATGGGTAGATCGAAGATGCCTACGGCGAATCACCGCCGCCCCCTGCCCCTTTGGAAGCGCCTCTGTGGCCGACAGCTGGGCCAGAGCTTGGCCAAGCTATCGGGCCAGTTGTTCCCCGAGTCGGTTTGGAAAGACTTCGGGGAACGCGTGGGGGAGCAAGAAGAGGAGGAGGGGGAGCAGGAGGAACAAAAATGATGATGATGATGATGAGGAGGAGGAGGAGGAGGAGGAGGAGGAGGAGGAGGAGGAGGAAAAGGCCTCTTGGGCGCCTCTTGGGGCACTCTTGGGGCCTCCTGGGAGCTTCCTGGGGGCCTCTTGAAAGGGTTTTGGGGGCCTTTGGGGGCTTCTTGGGGGCCTCTTTGGCAGTCTTAGGGCGTTCCTGGCTTGTCTGGCGCCGTCGGAAGCCGTCTTAGGGGCCTGTCTGGGTCGTCTGGGGGCCCTCTTGGGGCATATCAGGGGTCCTTAAAGGCCATCTTGGGCATCTTGGAGGCCTCTTGGGCCTCTTGGCCGTTTTGGGGCCCTCTTGGGTCAGTCTTAGGGGGTGTTTAGGCCGTCATGGGGCCATCTTGGAGGCCTCTTGGGCGATCTCGGAGGCCTCTTGGGCCGTCTTGAGCCGTCGGAATTCCGAGAATAAGCAAATGCGAACATCATTCAAAGACCTTAGGACAATCAACGACATTAGCCTCGTCGTGCCCTCCTGGAAGACCTCCTGGACGCCTTTTGGGCCGTCTTGGAGGCCTCTTGGGGGCCTCTTGGGCCGTCTTGGGCCATCTTGAGGCCGTCTTGGGCCATCTTGAGGCCATCTTAGGCAGTCTTGTGTGCATCTTGGGCCGTCTTGGAGGCATCTTCGAGCCATCTTAGGCGTCTTGGATGCCATCTTGGGCGTCTTAGAGGCCTCTTGGGGCCGTCTTGGGGCCCTCTTGGGGCCATCTTGGAGGCCTAGTGGGCGATCTTGGGGGCCTCGTGGGCCGTCTTGAGCCGTCGGAATGCCGAAAAGAAGCAAGCGCCAAAAGTCTTCAAACACTACAGGAGTATTCACGATGTTGGCCTCTTCGGGCCCTCCTGGAGGACCTCATGGAGGCCTCTTGGGCCGCCTTGGAGGCCTCTTGGGGGCCTCTTGGGCCGTCTTAGGCCATCTGGAGGCCATCTCAGGTCGTCCTGGGTGCATCTTGGGCCGTCTTGGAGGCACCTTGGGGCCTTCCTAGCCGTCTTGGATGCCATCTTGGGCGTCTTAGAGGCCTCTTGGGGCCGTCTTGGGGCCCTCTTGGGGGTCTCTTGGACCGTCATGGGGCCATCTTGGAGGCCTCGTGGGCGATCTTAGGGCGATCTTTGGGGCCTCTTGGGCCGCCTTGAGCCGTCGGAATGCAGAAAAAAAGCAAACGCCAACATCTTTCAAAAACCAAAGGATAATCAATGAGTTTGGCCTCTTCGGGCCATCCTTGAGAACCTCTTGGATGAGACCTGGGTCGTCTTGGGCCGTCTTGGAGTCTTCTTGGGCGAACTTGGAGGTATCTTGGACTCTCTTGGGCCGTCTTGGAGGCCGTGTCGGAGCATCGACCATCTTGGGCGGACTTGGAGGCCATGTTGGACCATCTTGGAGGCCATCTTGGGCCAACGTGGCCATCTTGGAGGCCATCTTGAGCCGTCTTGGAGGAAACATTCGGGATTGAGCTCCCTTCCTGGACCCCGGCGGGACGGGCCGAAGCCCCAGGGGGAGTTCTTTTGAAAAAAGAACCAAAACCGAAAGGATCTAGCACGCCAGGCACTCTGGTGGCAAGCCAACAAGGGGCGGCGGATCGAATGGCCTTCGGCCCTTCCCGCCAACCTGCTTGGCACGGGGACGGAAAGCGCATTTACTTTCAGAGCGCGAGATGTCGTTGGCTTGCCCGTTCTTTCTCTCTGTCTTCCCGTTTGGAGGCTCTCTTGGGGCATCTTGGTGGCATATTGGGCGCCCTCTAGGGCTATCCCGAAGCTGCAGGAGGCCTCTTGAGGGGGAACCAGGGCGTGTTGGTATCTTGGGAAGGCACTAGAGCGCGATAAAACACGAATGAAGATTAGGATCGTACTGTCGATGATGATGATGATGACGACGACATACTGTCTCTTGGGAGCATATTGGGCGTCTCCCAGGCCCTCCTTGGGCCGTCTTGTGGCTCTCTTAGGCCCTCTTGGGGCCCTGCTGGGCCGTCCTCAGGCTCTCTTGGGAGCCTCTCGGGCTGTCATGGCACAATCTCGGGGGGGCTGTATCGGGCCGTTCTAGCCCGAGAAGGCGAGGAGCTGGAAAACCTTCATAAACCTAAAAAGGCAACAATGGCTTATTCGTCCTTCAGCACTTCTGGGGGTCCTCTCGGGTGCCGCTTGGGGTGTCTTGGAGGCCTCTTGGGCTGTGCTGAGGCCATCTTGGGCTATCTTGGATCGCTCTTGGGCCGTCTTCGGTCCCGTCTGGGCCTCTCTCACGCCGTCTTGGAGGTGCCTTAAGTTGGCGAGGAGCTCATGCAGGTAGGGCGGGGCCAAGGGCGCCCCCCAGGCGGCGAAAGCCTACTTTCGTTTTTTTTCCCCGCTTAGACCGCCCATCGGTGCTCGAGGGGGGGGTCTTGAAGACCTCTTGAGCCGTATTGAGGCAGTCGTGGGCTATCTGGATCGCTCTTGGGCCGTCCTCTCTCAACGCCGGCGTGGAGGCCGTGGAAGCCGCCTGCATACGTGCAGATGTTCGAACACGTCTTGGGGCCGTCTTGGAGGTACCTTGGGCCACCTTGGGGCGATCTTACGGGCCTCTGGCCTCTTGGGCCGTCTTGGAGGCATCTTGGACCGTCTTGGAGGACGCTTGGCCTCTCATGGGCTGTCTTGAAGGTGCCTCAAGATGACGAGGACTTTATGCGCTTACGCGAAGCCTACGCGGAGCTTACGCGGAGCCCTGGTGTCTAGAACTGGTTACGTCACCGCTCTCTGTTGGGAGCATTGGTCGTATCAGCTTGTTTGCGTCACTGCTCACACTTGGGAGCCGCGGTGTTCAGGGTCCGTCAAGGGTCCGTGAACAGGGAACTCTTTTCCCTGCTAACGGTCCGTTAACAGGGAAAACACGCGTCTGTCACCCGATGTTCCTTGTTAAGTCCTTGTTAAGGGCTCCGTTAACAGGGAAAAGGGTGCCCGAGCGTCCGTCACCTGATTTTCATTGTGAGGCAAGGAAAGGGAGCGGATCTTCCATGTTAAGCACACGATGTTCCCTGTCAAGGGCTCCGTTAACAAGGAAAAAGGTACCCGAGCGAAACATGTCCCGGTTCACGGTCCGTTAACAGGGAAACGAACATTTCCTTGTTAACGGTCCGTGAACAGGGAAACGAGCGGGCGAAACATGTCCTTGTTAACGGTCCGTTAACAGGGAAACGGGCGGGCCAGAAAAACACCCGATGTTCCTTGTGAAGGGCTCCGTTGACAAGGAAAAACAAAGGGAAAAAGGGCGGGCCATTCGATCCCGCAACGCAGAGGCCACCCCCTCACACTCCCCCTAACTAATTCCTTCCGACTAACGGATCGCACGCTACGCGCGCTTTCCGTCATCCGCCGCCCCTTGCTGGCTTGCCACAGGGGTGCCCGGCGTGCTAGATCCTTTCGGTTTTGGTTC